CCCCCCTCCCCCGCCCTACCCTTCCTTTCCTCCCCCCACAGGTGCGCATCCTAAACCCGCCTATGAATGGATATTCTCGGACTGGAAGAAGTTGACAGTTAGGTTCCGCCTTGGCAGGAAATGATTGTTCGTGACAATCTCCAGTTTGAGTTTTTTCTTGCAAAACCTATGGGTTGGCGCAAATTTCACAACACTGTTGCTGTTCTCAGAGTGCTGAACGAGAGAACAGGCAGTGGTTAGTAGCTGGAGGTACGTAGTTCAACATCGAAGCCCTGGTATAATTTTGTTCAGAGTGTTGAGTCAAATTAGATGCCTAAAGTGATTACCCGGACGGTTAATTTTAACTAATAAAAATGGCATTTTTGAGTTTTATTGTTCTTTTTAGATGAAAATTTTAAGTTTTTTTTGTTGCTAAATAGATTAAAATTTTTATATTTCTTGCCGGATGGACTCGGAGTCATCCTTAAATTTCCCTAAGATATCGAAAAGAGCCTAAGGGCCCAACTTTTTTTGTCAAAATAAGAAATATGTGTAATTTACTGGTGATGTTTTTGGCTTGCTTTTAATCTATGCTAATTAAATTTGAAATTTGCTTATGTAGATTTCATCAAGTACTATTATAGGTGTGTGAAATTCTACGAAATTTGGACGTTTCATTTAACAAAATTCGTTCACTGCCAACTTCGATCGGTTTGTTCACGTGCCTACGACAACTGCATCTTCCAAGTAATCAAGTGGGAGGTCTGCCGGATGAAATTGGTCTCCTTAAACAACTGGAAATCCTGGATATTTCAAATAACAACCTGTCCAGTGTACCCGAATCATTTGCTGGCCTATGTTCATTGAAAAAGCTGAATTTATCAAAAAACAGATTCTCACAACTACCCATATATGTATGTCATCTAGCAGTACTGGATATTTTGGATATGTCATCGAATATCATTGAATCGCTTCCTGATGAGGTTTGTTTTCATCAGAAAATACTTTAGTATTTAATCTAGGATTTGTCGATTTGCCAGTTATTCGGCTCGAAGTTTTCTAGTTGTTTTGACCAATGCTGCATCATCTGGTGGTCAGCCTGTTGGCGACCCTAACATTTCTTTCGTCTTCTTGGATTACAAAGCTAAAGATTATCTCGATAGAAGCACATGGTAGGGCTTTAGCCCCGTTTATGGGTGTTATTTTTGGTACATGCTGATCATCACCACCT